TCTCTCTCTCTCTCTCTCTCTCTCTCTCTCTCTCTCTCTCTCTCTCGATAATTATTAGCTTTTATTCGCGCGACAGTTTGCCTTTGTGTCCGAAGCCACAGGTCCGATCGCAGAATACGAAAACCAAATTATCTAACACTGAAAGCATCATTAGAGATGCAGTAAATAAAAAGAAAGAAGTAAATCGCAATTTCGTACTTCTTGTTAATAACCCAATAATTTGTGATCAATCGCAAATCTCAGTCAATTGTTGTAAAGCCTGTTCGCGCCGCAGACACATCATAACGAAATTATACGATTGCAATCTTTCTAATTTAATAGTACAATTATAGTTTCCACCATTCCTCGGCTGGACCTCGCCCTGGTGCAAACCACGCGGATTTATAAAAAAAATATGTAAAAATAAAAATAAAGGGGAAAAAGAAAATAACACAGGGAGGAATTATCGCTGCTCCTCTTCACGGGGGCATCGATCACCTCGAGAGGGTTTACCGCTCGCCAAATTCACAAGGACGAAACGACGGATTCGGGTCGTCGTCGCACGTGTATCTTTAGTCAGTCAAAAACGGGAAAACACAAGAACTCTCGCTCGCGCTGGCAGTGTTTCTTTTTCTCTCTTTATCGAAGCGACACCTCTCATACAGAGTATCCCCTTAATCTGATACGAAATGCACGCGTACTTTCGAGTATATCGGTTGATAAATAGATGGAAATCGGAGAATCGCCTCTCTGATGACTGTACAAAATTACAATAGAGTAATAGTATCGCTTTATTGTAATTATGTAATTTGAAATTCACATGTTTATTAGCAACAACACAGACAGCACGCATGTCTCAGACATCTTTAAGACGTCTTATATCCCGATTTTGGACAAGGTGCTGTCTGGGAAAGATATTATTCGAGGTACGACGACAAAATTCACTTTGCTTCATCGTTTCTAAAGTCTTTTGCGACGAGCCGCGTGTAATGAGTGCGTAAATAATTGTATAATGTAAAACGATTTCTGATTAGCGCAAAGAGAAGGGAAATTACGAGCGCGCGTAAAAAGCGATGATTTATAGTTTCGAGTCTGTTGAACAATAAACGATGAAGTATGCAGAGATTTTCCCCTCGGTACAGGGAGATGAGTTTGATAACTAATGTAACGATGTTGACGCAGGGGAAAACTTCTCCCGGGAAATAAATGAGACTTGTTCAAGATAGAAAGACGACTCGAGGTAAGAACCGTGGTTAACAAGTCTCGGACTCGATTAACGATATAATTATTATGTAAAGTTGAGAGCGCGTGCTCTCCTTCGTGAAGATATAAGTCTTCGCGAATAATAAATACTACTAAACTCAGTCAGCGCGTTCTTGCAAAATCTCTAAAAAAAATAAAAAAAAATGTAATACGTTTCGACGCGACACATGGAGATTCATTCGTCAGACGACTGCGTCAGGGAATTGATCGATAAAAGGCTTTCAGCGCATCAAGATTACTTTTATTATGGATCTTTTGTCTTCGATTTTTAATACAGTTAAAACTAATGCAAATTCAAATTGAAACGTCTCACGAAAGTGTCTTCTCGTAAAACCTCCGCGTCTAGAACCTTCGTTATTACCTAGGTTCAAGCTTAAACAAAAAAGGAGCAAAGGAGAGTAACGCGGTTGTCAGGGCGAAAGTTGTGGGGAGGTGTACGTTGTTCTGTAATTATATATAATATACATTAATTGTAAAATCGGCCTTGTAATTTACGTATATATCTAATTAAAGAGCAACGTATCCTTACAACTCCCGCCACTAACAACCGCGTTACTCTTCCTACCCCTTATTTTGCTTAAATTTTATATTCTATTATTGAAAGTCTAAGAAAATTTTACTATAACGTTATTACGTCGGCTCCTAATCGCTTCGTCTTTCCTGGCTTCGAGGTGACACTATCGAAAAGATTTGTCACAAAACGCGAACGTGAGATTTTTTCCAACTGGCAATTCTTTCAAATCATTAAATATCTTGCCGTTCGACTCTCCCCTCCCTATGCGACAGGAAACGAAGAGATTCGGATGCAGTACAATGATCGAAATATGTGGTTATTGCGAATACGCCGCCCCGGTGTACGTCGCTTCGTCCTCATCCCTCGCTCGTCGGGAGGAGTCGCGCTTCGTTTCGAGTAGATCGCTGCGATTCAGGATTCGACTATACGATATACAACATAACAATTAGCAATAGCAGCAGCGGTAGTTGTAACGGTAATAGTCGTAGTAGTAATAGTAATAGTAATAATATGATAGTAGTAATAGTAGTAGTACCCTATGAAAAAAAAGAGAAAAAGGATACATAGAAAAACATGGTGTTGGTACAATATATCTATACACTAACTTCTTATCACGTTTTCTCGTTTTCTCCACTTTTCTCCATACGCAACGCGCCTCGCGTGATATATCGTACATAACGTTAGGAAGAGAACCGAGGCAAGAGGAGGGCGGTGGGCAGGAGAGGACGAGAATGGAGGGACTCCGCTGAATTATTAACACGGAATTATTAACGCTTCGAGCCCCTTCGTCGACCCGTATTCGTACCCTATCCGTCCGTACGCGTAACTGTTTGACAGCCGACGCGAGGCGAGATCGCAGACGAACGTGGAATTGGGATCGCCACTGTATCGCCCCAGACAACACGCATGTCTTAAATCGGGAGATAAGACGTCTTTAAGACATCATTAAACGTCTTCAAGACGTCATATCTCTCAATTTGAGACATTATGTTCACTAGAGGATGCATTAACGGGAGCGGGGGGGGGAGGGATACGAATGCGGGAGCTCAGAGTAAACGCGCCTTTTCGCATGATATTTCTCTCTTCTTCATTCGAGCACACTTGCACGCACGTACCTCACTCGCTTTCCTTCCTCGTCCCCATCATCCTTCCTCTCCGCGTATTCGTACCACAAAATTTCGCATACGATCGACGATACAAGCACACAAACACATGCATACACCTGTTACAAACATGGAACATACACACGTTAGCAGAATGAAACCTCGGTAATGTTCAACGATGTTCGTTTTTTTTGCGATTCGCCGGAAGAAGGAAAAAACGATGAGGTCGGTGAACAGAACCGAACGCGCGGTTAAATCGTTCGTCCTTAACGTTCTCGGTTAATATTGTTACCGTACAAAAGGGAAGGGCATGAGGGTTTGTCGCGGAGCGAGGAGAGGCCACGGGCTTGTTTCGCGTACCTCTCATCTCCTTGGAACGCATGATTACGGTAACAGTAACGCTGAATCGCGGCGATGTATATACGTATGTATATTATAATCAGTCACGCGCGCGCGCGTGATATTTTACTTGTACAGTACGCCCGATCGATGCCAATGAGATAGAAACGTTCCTCGGATACTCGCAATCGTGTTTCTTCGTCTTATCATCTAAACACAACCGAACGAATTGTCCCTAAAAACTAGACATTTTCCCCGCCTCCTCCTTGCGCGCCCATTGTACTACGTTCTGTATGATCGTTTAACTAGAGCTTTAACGAAATAATCACGATCTTGGTGTCCCACAGCTGTGCCGTAAATCGATGTGAGGTCGCTTCAGCGAGACCAAACAAGAGCGTCTCTCCGGTAAGAATTCTTTCTCGGAAAATAACGAACTAGATTTTCACTTTGATGTTTGGCGACTATTTTTATCAACGGCTCGACTGGAGCGACAACACCCCGAGTAGAACACGAGCTACCTGCTACCATTGTGTCTCGGCGATGTTAGATACGCGAAATTTTTATAGCGACCGTACTCGTTGGCTTATCCCTGCAATCGCGCTTGATCCTCTTGACACTAACATGGAGCTACATCTCGTTTGTATCTTTTAAAAACGTTGTTTCTTTTTTTATTTTGTGCAAAAATTCGTGATATAGCTTTACACACATCAGTTTTTCGATTATCGATGCATCCGGCTTATGTACATGTTTTGCGACTTATACAAAAAAATATTCTACATTTATACAAATCCGTATTCGGCCTCCGATAGAGCAGGACACGATAATAATAGCGCGGAATCACATTAGCTCTCGTGGCTGCCTCGTGAAAATCGAACAATAATCTGGCCAAGTCAATATCATTAACAGACAATTTACATAAGTCACCGAGATCGACTTATGCAACATTAAACAAATTTAAAAGCTTTAAGAAGTCACAAGAGACGCACGTAAATTTACAATTGTGTGTGTATATATATATATATATATATATATATATACACACACACACACACACACACACACACGCGCACGCACACGCACACGCACACGCACACGCACACGCACACACACACACACACACACACACTATTGAGAAAAATTTATATATATGTGTGTATATGTATATGACATATACGGAATACTACAATTCTTGATATATCGTCGCAGTCTTCCGTTACGACGCGTCTTTGCATTTCGTTACTATCTGACAAAAGCCGCTGCCGCCTTTCGCGAAACGATTTACAAATTATAACTCACGCTATCAAACTTCGACGAATATTTGCTTGCTTTACTCGTACCCCGAAGTGCCTTGTTGTTTATACCCGCGAATGGCATTAACGCGGTTCGAATTCGGAGGAAGCAAAGCTGGCCGGCTTGACCACGCATCAAACGCGTTAAAAACTCTAAGTGTTGCCCGAAGTATGCTTACGTTGTTACGTGTATTGCAAACAACTGCGAGAATCCATCATCGAAACCGCGTACTGTACATTTGCGATTCGCCACGGAAGAAAAATAAGGGAAAAAAATAATAGAAACAATCGGGTTTCGTCATCCCACGCGCAGAGAAGAATTCCACACGAGGGGTTTGGCGATCTTTAAGCGTCGTTACTCTCCTTGACATCGCTGTTGACGGGTGTTCTCTCCAGACAGAATTGTCCTCTCCCTGATTGCGACAGACAAGTTGTAGCGACCGCCGAGTCTCCTGAGAATCCTGCGCACCGCAATGCGAGGAGGGTTGTTGCTTCTGTTGCCGGCCACGTCTCGTTATTCATAATTTCGCCGGAACGTCGACATTTCCGTTCTTTACACGTACCGCGGGGACCAACCAGTTGCTCTCTCCTTATCCTTTCGTCTCGTCTTTGTTTCATCCACTTGGCATAGAACGGTTCGCGGTCGTTTCCATCGCTACTTTCGCGGATGTCGCAATGGGACACCATCGACCGGTCACCACCCGCCGGTCTTGTCACTGATCTTCGCGACGCGACGCCGTGACACGTCGGAAAAGTCGGTCACCGTTTGCCAGATGGTCGCGCGATACCATACGCGAGTTCACTTCCGGCTAACGGGTGGGAAAGCGCCGTGCGCACGGCGGTAATCGCCAGTCGCCGCTCCTGACGAACGACATTGCTGGTTGTTATGATGATGACGAGTCCGCTATTGCTGGTGCTGATTCACTTGCTGTGTTGCACGCTTGCCCGCCTGACCATCAGGGTGGGTGGGGCGATTGCCGTCGCATTGGCGCTTCCAAAACAAAAGACACACAAAACAGCGACATTAGCGCGCCACCGTCTTCACCACATAAATGAGCTAAAGGTTCTCTCTTTTTCTCTCTTTTTCTTTTTTCTTTTCCGGCGCTCCTTCTCTCGTTCGTTACATCTAGCCTCCTCAGTTTCGCTCTTACCCGGCTTCCTTTGTCTACGATTTCATTATTCCTAATGTGAGATCGGATAATCGACTGGCGACTTAGCATGAGACAATGATGTTACAGGCAAATTGAATTAAATTAATTATTCTTCATGATAAAATGCAATGTAGTTTTAGAGAGGATAGTGAGGAAATGTTAATAGCAAGTCTCTAAAGAAACAAATTTGAAATATTCGTTGTTTCCTCCTCTCAACATGTTCCTCACCTCCGACGAAGACATGTCTTATCGTAAATCTGTTTCATCAATATTCGCGGTCGACAGCTCAAACGGAAATGTAATGCAAGAATCTTTCGTGTTTCTCGCGTTTCCCGCTAAATTACAACAATATCGCTAGGTTCTCTCGACGAGATTCTTAACGACATGAATGGGTTGACGGATACCGACAAGCTCGTGAGAAAGAATGAACTCGGAGAGAAGGCTCGCACGATGAAAGTTTCCCCCATGATCAGAGTTTTTCATGATCGGCGTCCTCTACCGTGGCACAGGAGAGAATTTCGTTCCCTCTTTGTCTACTTTTGTCATTTAGAATTAGTGCTTTCGGTTACCTGAAAAAAGTCAACGAAAGAACATAAAGCGGAATTTTGGTAAATTTCGATACCGAATAGTTTTTGCGTGCCTATGCTTTAGTTAGATTGCAAAACGGATTGCAATATGTATCGATGCTTAAGAAAAATTGAGAGCATTAAAACGTGCATGTTTACATGCACAGTTATTCGAAAGAATGCCCTCACACAGCACACACTAAATTAACGTTAGTTAAAACATTGCATCATTGTTTTAAAAAGATATTCCTTAAAGTGCATACGTTTTTACGGTATCTTCTAAGTGCATACGTAGGTCTGTCGCGTTCAACGTTATTTTTCTCTACCTTAAAGTATTTTAAAAACTCTAAAAAAAATTCATGAAATATCTGTCTACATTGTAGTTGACGATTTTATAGTCATTTTGATAAACATCGTTTATTTAATATTTTCTGACAGGCTTGTAAGTTTTAGAGCAGATATCACTTTGGCTCGGACGTCGTAGACCCACGTATGCAGCTTAAGGAATATCATTGATCTCAGCCAACGTGAGAAATATATATCTGACTCTTAAAATGTAACCTTTGCGATAGATGTCAAATTTGCATTTTACTCGTTTACCTAAAACATAAAAAATTATAAGCATTCGATATTTATTATCCGTTCATTCGTACAAGTAGATAATTAAAAAAAAAGTACGAGTTTGATTATATTCTGATATTTTTAAGCGAAACGTATTAATGAAAATATTGAGAATACAAAATATACACATACGATAATATTGTGTACCGCCGGTTCTATAAATCAAGCCTACATTTCAAGACATTGGAAAAGTGGATTAACCAGTTACCAAGCGGAGTTGTGCAATAACCAACTGGCTCGTCTGACTATTCTCCGAGTCGTTACGCTCTTATTGCTACAGCTTAGCCTTACATATCTTGAAAGGCAAATGTGAAAGTCTTCTCTATATGGAAAGACATACTGCGCGTCCTAGAAAATATACTCCGCTTCTAATTTCTTTATAAATTTTACTAAAAACTGTTTAACTCGCATCTTAAGTTTCATATTTAATATTTTTTTATGTATAAGCTATCCATTATCTTATTATTAGTTTTGTACCGATATAATAGGATATAATAGGATAAATAAAATTTTCAATAAAAACTTTGTTTAGTAAAAATTTTTAAAATTTACTAAATAGAGTGAGTTAAAATTTAAGAAAATTTTGAAAAATTTCTTAAGAATTTTACATATTGAAAAATAATAAATTATCTTCAAAAATTATCTTCTTTTTTGTGCGATATCTGTGCTTGGGCATCCTAACAACATCAAGTACAATCGGACTTGAGTCTAACGATCAAAAGAATTATTTGTTTGTCAAAATCACATGCGATAATCTCAAAATTATGTAGCCAATTCGGCTAACACAAAGCCACCACAGGCAATTAAAGATATATTCTCCAATATAGAAATTATATCTTGCGTTGCGTATTTTTTATATTAGTTTGTTAAACATATTCTAATATAATTGATTAAAAATAACAATATAATAATTATATTGTGAGAGTGCAATTGATAGCAAGCAATAAGTAACTTTCGGATTTTCATTTGAAGAGAATGCTTGTATGTAACTCATCGATAGCTAAATGTGGATGTATTCGTGATGTTCTTCTCAATATTCATTCATGTGTTATCGGTGACATGTATATAGGGTGTCTTCATCACTACATCATTGACATATTCTGATAATTTTGAAAATAATTCTTTGCTGCAAAAATATAACGAAACCATACTCTTTGAAGGTTGTCGCTTTTTAACTTTAAATACCTTTATGACTAATATCTACGTTACATGAAAAGTAATGTCTGTCATCTATTTGCATTTCTGGAATTCCGCGAAAAAATAATTCATTTTTCAGTCGCTTGTAACTCGAAGAATCATTATATAGGACCACAAAAAATTAAGTTTTTTCTACCGGAAAGAAAAACCACTATTTTTTATATATTTTGATGTGCTAAAACCGAATATGACCTTTAAAATAATGTAGCACGTAAAGTTTTTGTTATAACAGGCAAAAGAGGCTCAAAATTAAGCATTTTTAATATTCTACATAAGACTGTAATTAAATTTTCTTAGCTTAAAAACAATAATCATGTATATGCTAGGTTATTTTAAAGATCATATTCGGTTTCAGTACATAAAAAATAGTAGTTCTTTTTTCCGATAAAAAAAACTTTATTTTTTTTTCGTGATTCTGTGATCGTTCGTTCTAAGAAACGTGCCATTAATTAAAGAATAACGTGATAAGACATCTTGTATACAAAGTATGCACATTGAGAATTCTTTCCAAATGTCAAAACGTCTCTCTCTTCTCCAATCTCCATTTAATCTCATTAAACATAATTAATTAAAGTACCATGCCACGGTATTGCGACACCACCTTCCTACCAAAATTAAGCTTCCATTCAACTAACGCGTACCGATACATAAAACATGATCTAGCGTTTACACAAGCATAACACAAATTGCAATTTTAAAATCGGCTTCATCACGCATCGATGAATCGTAAAATTTGGTAAGAGTTATAAAAATATAGTAATGAAATTGAAAAATGGAGCTTACACCATTATTAATATATTGCAAATTTTCATACTTATTGTTAGTATCATAGCCATTATATATCGAGCCATGGAACTCGATATACAAATATAAATAGAATTAAAAACAGGCTTAAAATGCAACTTTCCCCCAAATGTACAGTGTTCATGCAACCGAAAACGAGAGTGTAACAAGCTCTGAACTTTTACCGATGCAAGAAATTCTATGTGACCCTAAAATAAGTTGTCAAAAATTTACAACGTATTGTTAACTAATCTGTCGATATCTCTTTCTCTTTCATAGCTCTTTAATCATCCAATTGATATCCAAACGTTTTAAAGAATAAATTACAAAGTAAAAATCTATAAAGCTCATTTAAAAAAAAGATATGGAGAATTACCGAAAGAGTGACCCCAAAAATCGCCTATTTTTGGTCCCGCGATATTGGAACTGAATTGTGTGTCAAATGATACCTTATGACAAGACATCAATCACAAAAAATTTTTAAGTTGAGGTAAGAATTGATTCCAGAGATATGGGAGGTCAAAGTAGTCAAAATTCATTAACTCGTCAGCCCGTACGCTTTAAAGCACGAATTTTTCTTTCAGTCCGATAATTTAAAACTTTGTACCCGGGGGTTTTGCTAGCTGCTGACAATGAATTTGAAGTCAGATTTTTAAAATTCATAATGGCCGATTTAATATGGCGGACTATGTATTTAAAAAATTTCTTTTTCTTGTTAAGTAAATCGATCCATAAGTATGTGTGAAAAATCTGACTTCAAATTCATTGTCAGCAGCTAGCAAAACCCCCGGGTACGAAGTTTTAAATTATCAAACTGAAAGAAAAATTCGTGCTTTAAAGCGTACGGGCTGACGAGTTAATGAATTTTGACTACTTTGACCTCCCATATCTCTGGAATCAATTCTTACCTCAACTTAAAAATTTTTTGTGATTGATGTCTTGTCATAAGGTATCATTTGACACACAATTCAGTTCCAATATCGCGGGACCAAAAATAGGCGATTTTTGGGGTCACTCTTTTATATATGTTTTTACTGTTAAATCTTGTAATTCTAAGATTACCGATGTTTCTCGACATTCTCGGTAAGAAAAACTCCAACTTGATCGAAGAAAGTTTCAAAATTCAGCGACTTACTTTAGCATTATTCCAAATAAATATATAATTAGGACAAAGAAAGACCTGTGTGAAGTTAGCACCCCATTTTTTAAATTTTTAAATTCAAAAAGTTGTTCCAAGTTGTTCTAGACTTGTTCTAAATTGTTCCAGAAAATCAAATTTTTAAAATAAAAATGTTCGCAAAAAATTAATAAAAACGATTTTCTGACCTGGCACCCCATTTTTCGAAAATCGAACTTTTCAATGTTGTTTCAGGTTGTTCCAGTTGTTCTAAACATTGTTCCATCCAAAGTATTAGTTCGATTGGTCAAAAACTTTAAGAGATATTAAAAAAAGAAAAATTTTGGAAATAACAGTTTTTGGCCATTTATTCGTAAACAAAATGACTTACAAAACTGTCGATTTAAAACATATTTATAACCGCGTAGAACTCAGAACAAAATTTTTAAGACCAGAACAAGAGCCTAAAGGGCACTTTACTATTTATCGAAAAAATTCGTTTTTCGAATTTCTTGGTTAAATATTTTTTCGTGAGTTGTCCCAGTGGAGAACACGATAGTTTTAACGCGGGAAGCCTAGAACAAGATTTTTAACCAAGAAATTCGAATTTTTCCGATGAAGAGTAAAGTACCCTTTAGGTTCTTGTTCTGATCTTAAAAATTTTTGTTCTGAGTTGTTCTACGCGGTTATAAATATGTTTTAAATCGACAGTTTTGTAAGTCATTTTGTTTACGAATAAATGGCCAAAAACTGTTATTTCCAAAATTTTTCTTTTTTTAATATCTCTTAAAGTTTTTGACCAATCGAACTAATACTTTGGAACAATGTTTAGAACAACTGGAACAACCTGAAACAACATTGAAAAGTTCGATTTTCGAAAAATGGGGTGCCAGGTCAGAAAATCGTTTTTATTAATTTTCCGTAAACATTTTTATTTTAAAATTTTGATTTTTTGGAACAATTTAGAACAAGTCTAAAACAACCCGGAACAATTTTTAGAATTTCAAAATTTAAAAAATGGGCTGCTAACTTCACACAGGTCAAGGAAAGTCTTGCGTGTTCTAACGTCGAAAAACTTTCCTATTATCTACATAACTAGTATAACTAAAATAGTTCAACGTTTGTGAAAATAGCTAATTATCTGTGCAAGCTTACGTATTCTTTGTAAATGGTTCCGCGGATTTCAGTAGAGCAAGTTATACCAGTCGTTTAGCGGCTTTAGTCGTTCTATATCGTGTAGCAACTCACTTGGACTTGGGCTGCATTTCTCCTGCAGCGGCTAGTAGTGTATCCCTACGGTGCAACCGCATGCTGACCCTTCGCTCTTGTCCACCCGCACCCGATGCTGAAAGAGAGCATCAGAAAAAAACATAATGCATGAAAAACCGCAAAAGAAATTTAGCCAACATTCCTGTGTTTAACAACATTACGTATGTTTCTTTCGTATCGTCAACTCGCTGTCACCCTCTGTCCATTTCGCAGAACTCGCTTTTATGATCTTCGTATATATACGCAAAAGTTTCCTACCGTCCTCTCGACACACACGGCAGTTTTCAAAGGTTTGTACACAAATCCAAAAGCAGTCATAAGGGAATAGCGACATTTGTTCAAAACAGTATCTCAAAAAAATTCCAAAACCTCGGCTCTTTTCTAAACTCGCCGACAATATTTCAGTCAGTACATTCAATCGTGCAAGTAACTGATCGCCGAAGAGAAAAAAAAACCAGGAGGTAGGAAAAAGAAAACAGTTGTAGGCAGAGAAGAGCACTCGTTACATTGCAAAGCACACGTTTTTCACAGTATTGTATTGTATGTTATACCCACCATGCGTCAACCTGCAATCTAAAACTATTTTCGAAAGATGACATAACGTATATCCAAGAACTGTAATGACCTAAACGAGTGTGCCCTTTTATGCCCAAAATAAGGTCTGTTCGTTTTCGCTGCACTTCTAAACTAATGCAATAAGTTAGAATGAAAGAAAATATATTTGTTTCATTCTAACTTATTGCACTAGCTCAGAAGTGCAGCGAAAGCGAACAAGCTTATAGTGTCGCAGCATTACAAAATTATAGTCGTTTGGCTGCCGTATCTAATCTTCATTATCGAGGTATTTAGATATGCGATATTTCTGTTTGTATTTACATACACAGAATTTTAAATACATTTAACGCAAGTAATGATAATAATATAAACTTAGATTTCAGAAATTAAGATACTATTCTATATAAATTCACGCAGGCTGATATAATCCAATATACTTAAGAAATTATAAGTTATGGTTTTAAGTGACTTTGAAGCATATGTTTGATTACAATGTTTTACTTTGTATTTGTTACTTGAGTACGTTACCTTCAATTTTACTGAATTTTATCGTCAATTTTTAACTACTGTCGCAATCTTTCGAAACAATAATAGTGATAAACAAAGAAAGGTAAGCCTAAAAAATCGAGTGTTGCTTTTATCGTACGTATAATCGTCAGATTGATGCGTCATATTCATGTTTCGAAAATGTCATACGATTAAAAATGACTCGACATCAATCGGGCGACACGGAAAACAATGGATAATCTTTCACTCTTGGCAATTAAAATGGAAAAATTAATCATTACAATAAAAAAAAGAAAAGTAACCAAACAAATGTGAACATCAATGTTTAGAAAAATAAATCAAAATGAGGAAATGACACGTTTTCGTGAAGGTAGATGATGCAACAAATTCAAAAATTAGTAGAATAAAAGTAGAATTTTCTCTTATCTCTTCTTTTTCGCCGTCGTGTCTCGAGAATCGTTGAAATCTCCGAATTATTCGCGCTTGGGTTTTTCCATTCAAGCCAAGTGAAAAATAATTTTGACAAGGATAATTGACAATGTCGTGTGGTGAGATAAATAAAAAGAGACCAATTCTTGAATGGAAAAACATTTATTTGCTACTTTTTCTTCATCATCATTATTATTATCATATTATCATATCATCATCGTCATCATCATCATCACCATCACCGTCATCATCATTAACATTATCATCATCATCGTCATCGTCATCGTCATCGTCATCGTCATCGTCATCGTCATC